TTGGTCTGGGTGTCGGCTGCTGTCCTCTTGTTTCGTTGAGTGAACGTTGTGGATTGTTCTTCTCTTTGCCGCTCTTGTCAGCCACGGCGTTCTCTTGTTTCCGACGTCCCGCATTGGGTTCCTGCTCAGGCTTATTTGATTTATCCACGTGGCACTGTGTGACAGTGCCTTGTTAGTGTGGCAACTGTGTGGCACTGTAGAGTCTTGTGGCATTCGTGTCACACCAGCCCCCGTCTCTCCTCTACACCAGCCCCCCCCCCGTCTCTACACTAGTCCTCTAACGCATGGTTTCTAGTTTACACGAGAAAAATCTATTGTAATGTGTTAACATATTAGCCTCATTTGTGCCCACCACCGTGTTCATCCCCACAGTCTGTGTTGTGGTAGTGGTGGTAGTGCTGGTAGTGGTGGTAGTGGTGGGGGTGGTGGTGCTGGTGGTGGTGGTGGTGGGGGGTGGTGGTGGTGGTGGTGGTGGTGGTGGGGGTGGGGGTGGTGGTGGTGCTGGTGGTGGTGGTGGTGGTGGTGGTGGGGGATGGTGGGGCTTGTGTGAGGGGGAAGGGGTAGGGGACGGTGGGCAGGAGGTGGTAGGAGGTGGGAAGGGGGGGGGGAAGGAGTGAGGTGTTTATCGGTGTTAAATATTTTATTCTCATGATGGAATGAAGTAAATACTTCCCGTTGTAATTCAAGTGGAGGAAGGCTCTGTTTTTTTGGCTATGAACAAGGTTAGAACATGTGTGAAGAACGGGAGAACACGTGTGGAGAACGGGAGAACATGTGTGGAGAACGGGAGAACACGTGTGGCGAACGGGAGAACACGTGTGGAGAACGGGAGAACATGGGAGCCGGTCGGCCGAGCGGACAGCACGCGGGACTTGTGATCCTGTGGTCCTGGGTTCGATCCCAGGTGCCGGCGAGAAACAATGGGCAGAGTTTCTTTCACCCTATGCCCCTGTTACCTAGCAGTAAAATAGGTACCTGGGTGTTAGTCAGCTGTCACGGGCTGCTTCCTGGGGGTGGAGGCCTGGTCGAGGACCGGGCCGCGGGGACACTAAAGCCCCGAAATCATCTCAAGATAACCTCAAGATATGTGTGAAGAACGGGAGAACATGTGTGAAGAACGGGAGAACATGTGTGAAGAACGGGAGAACATGCACCTGGCAACAATTACCATCACCTGGCAACAATCACCATCACCTGGCAACAATCACCATCACCTGGCAACAATCACCATCACCTGGCAACAATCACCATCACCTGGCAACAATCACCATCACCTGGCAACAATCACCATCACCTGGCAACAATCACCATCACCTGGCAACAATCACCATCACCTGGCAACAATCACCATCACCTGGCAACAATCACCATCACCTGGCAACAATCACCATCACCTGGCAACAATCACCATCACCTGGCAACAATCACCATCACCTGGCAACAATCACCATCACCTGGCAACAATCACCATCACCTGGCAACAATTACCATCACCTGGCAACAATCACCATTACCTGGCAACAATCACCATCACCTGGCAACAATTACCATCACCTGGCAACAATCACCATCACCTGGCAACAATTACCATCACCTGGCAACAATTACCATCACCTGGCAACAATTACCATCACCTGGCAACAATCACCATCACCTGGCAACAATTACCATCACCTGGCAACAATTACCATCACCTGGCAACAATCACCATCACCTGGCAACAATCACCATCACCTGGCAACAATCACCATCACCTGGCAACAATCACCATCACCTGGCAACAATCACCATCACCTGGCAACAATCACCATCACCTGGCAATAATTACCATCACCTGGCAACAATTACCATCACCTGGCAACAATTACCACAGGTTTTGCCATAACAGTGATGAGCTGATGTGACTCTGAAGTTGTATGTCTGACAGGAAGTTCTTCGTGAATGTTAATACTTTTATCCTGATATTAAAGTTGGCCCAGACCCGACCCCAGCGTCACACGGCCTCTAGGGTGGGGAGGGGGAGAGAGAGAGAGAGAGAGAGAGAGAGAGAGAGAGAGAGAGAGAGAGAGAGAGAGAGAGAGAGAGAGAGAGCTGACGTTGTAAGCCGCCTTGCAAGGGACATTCTACTAGCATCAGCCTTTGCAACGTGATGAAACAGTCGTTTGAGTGATGAGCAAACCCTCACATCATCACAGAATGGAGAATTGACGTCCTTTCAGTCCGGCCGGGACCATTATCAAGTCGGTCCAGGACGGACCGAAACGTCGGCGTCTCTCTGTTTTCCGATGAGTAGTTTGATCATCATCATCTTCAACCACGTTATTGTGATTCTACTTCTGTAGAGTGGTTTGTGTGTTGCTTGTCTGCGGCTCTGTGGTGACGGAGGTGTCTGCTGGGTGTATTTCCTCGAGTGGCGCCGCGCACTCCACACTAACCTCACCTCAACCATTCCACTTGAAGGAAATATTGGTCAAGCACGCGGCTATCTTACAGGCAGAGTGACGACAGTGTCTGGCTATCTTACAGGCAGGGTTACAGCAGTGAGTGTCCGGCTATCTTCCAGGCAGGGTGACAGCAGTGTGTGTGTCCAGCTATCTTACAGGCAGGGTGACGACAGTGAATGCCCGGCTATCTTCCAGGCAGGGTGACAACAATGAGTGCCCGGCTATCTTACAGGCAGACAGTGAGCGCCCTCTAGACTGCATTAGGTGCTCGTACCTTTGGCCAGAAGAAATGCCAGTTTGACATTTATTAAAGACTGTTCATTCTAAAGCGTCACAAGTGGCCGTTCTTGGCGAAGGAACTCGAGGGTGGGCTCGTTGAGCCGTGCTTCAGCGCCAGTGTTGAGACGGGGGGGGGGGGGGATAGTTATTGACGATGGTGGTAGTGCGTGTTGTTTAAGGGCATGAGGGAGAAGGGCTCAGGGGAGGAGGAAGGGCTCGAGTGAGGGGGAAGGGCTCAGGGGAGGGGGAAGGGCTCAGGGGAGGAGGAAGGGCTCAGGGAAGGGGGGAAAGGCTCAGGGGAGGGGAAGGGCTCAGGGGAGGGGAAGGGCTCAGGGGAGGGGGAAAGACTCAGGGAAAGGGGAAGGGCTCAGGGGAGGGGAAGGGCTCAGGGGAGGGGGAAAGACTCAGGGAAAGGGGAAGGGCTCAGGGGAGGGGAAGGGCTTAGGGGAGGGAAAAGGGCTCAGCGGAAGGGCTCAGGGGAGGGGGAAGGGCTCACGGGAGGGGAAGGGCTCAGGGGAAGGGGAGGGTTGTCCAGCCTGCAGCAGTGGTGTCACACGTCCCTCCTGCAGGTGTTGTGTGTGAGGTCCGGTGCTCGCCTCCTCGAGGGCCACTCCAGTGGCTCACCAAACATGTGTGTTTGGTGAGCCACTGTGAAGGGTTTGGGGGAGTAGAACAACTCCCACATGTCCCTGCACTCTCGTGTTGATGAGGTGCGTCCCGTATTGATGAAGTGCGTCCCGTATTGATGAGGTGCGTCCCGTATTGATGAGGTGCGTCCCGTATTGATGAGGTGCGTCCCGTATTGATGAGGTGCATCCTGTATTGATGAGGGGCATCCCGTATTGATGAGGTGCGTCCCGTATTGATGAGGTGCGTCCCGTATTGATGAGGTGCATCCCGTATTGATGAGGTGCGTCCCGTATTGATGAGGGGCATCCCGTATTGATGAGGTGCGTCCCGTATTGATGAGGGGCGTCCCGTATTGATGAGGTGCGTCCCGTATTGATGAGGTGCGTCCCGTATTGATGAGGGGCGTCCCGTATTGATGAGGTGCGTCCCGTATTGATGAGGTGCGTCCCGTATTGATGAGGTGCGTCCCGTATTGATGAGGGGCGTCCCGTATTGATGAGGTGCATCCCGTATTGATGAGGTGCGTCCCGTATTGATGAGGGGCATCCCGTATTGATGAGGTGCGTCCCGTATTGATGAGGGGCGTCCCGTATTGATGAGGTGCATCCCGTATTGATGAGGTGCATCCCGTATTGATGAGGGGCGTCCCGTATTGATGAGGCTACCATGTGACCTCTGCCTTCCCTGACTAATGTCAGGAAACTTGAATATTTCCACGTTCACAAATTATTTTAACACTGCAATAATAATAATATTGTGAATGAAACACACAGATATCACACTAACCTGAAATATATCAATGAGAAAATCCACCAGGGCTGTGAGATGGATTCGAACCTGCGATCCGGGCATTGTCAAGTCGCGTACTCTACCACTGGACCACCGACACTTGTTAAAGTCATTTAACCGGATTTCTCCTGAAGTCACAGAAAGTGTGGAGGCCTCTACTGACGCCAGGCCAAGTGTTGGCGTGTGACCCACAAGCACTCTTTGTTGTATGACTTACACAAGACAGCGGTGGTCCTGTGGTAGCGTACCCGACTGGCCATGCTGGGGGTCCCAGGTTCGTGCCCACCTCACAACCCTGGTGGAGTGTCTCAATATTGTGAATGGTTGTTATTATTATTATTATTAATTCGCTAGTAATCTCTACAGTACTGTCCGAGATTAAAGTTAGACTCTGAAGAGTGGAGTGGGGATAACTATGGAAGGTAGAGAGCCATCAGTTGAAGGCGGCCGCTGTATCCAGCACCCGTCTAAGAAAGTACTAGATATAGCGGGATTTCCAGCAATAATGGTTCCAGAAGTGAGGGGTTTGAGTACGAGGAGAGGCCGAGGGAGGCCGAGGGAGGGCGAGGGAGAGCAAGGGAGGGCGAGGGAGGCCGAGGGAGGCATTGGGGTGGTTGGGGTGGGGTATGGGGGGGGGGATTGGGGTCGGGTATGGGGGGGAAGGGTTGAGACCTAAACATATGTTTTTAATACATTCCTACTGACAGTATTTTGTCCTCTAAACTTTCTCTTTGGATATTTATTTCTCAAGTTCTGAATGCAGAGTTATCGACAGTGAATACTGGGTTTTACCCATGAATGCTTTTAGCAGTGATTGCAGGTTATTTATCGATAACCCCCTACCATCACGATAAATATATGGTTATCAGCGATGAATACAGGGCATCAGACGAGGAATACAGGGCATCAGACGAGGAATACAGGGCATCAGACGAGGAATACAGGGCATCAGACGAGGAGTACAGGGCATCAGACGAGGAATACAGGATATCAAACGAGGAATACAGGGCATCAGACGAGGAATACAGGGCATCAGACGAGGAATACAGAGCATCAAACGAGGAATACAGGGCATCAGACGAGGAATACAGGGCATCAGACGAGGAATACAGGGCATCAGACGAGGAATACAGGGCATCAGACGAGGAATACAGAGCATCAGAGGAGGAATACAGGGCATCAGACGAGGAATACAGAGCATCAGACGAGGAATACAGAGCATCAGACGAGGAATACAGAGCATCAGACGAGGAATACAGGGTATCAGACGAGGAATACAGGGCATCAGACGAGGAATACAGGGCATCAGACGAGGAATACAGGGCATCAGACGAGGAATACAGGGCATCAGACGAGGAATACAGGGCATCAGACGAGGAATACAGGATATCAGACCAAGAATACAGGGACGCCGCTGACCAATACACTCAGGACCGTTGGTGTGAATTATCGTCGTCAGGACCAAAACGTTTCCAAATTCCCAGCAGTAATTATTGTTCCACTGTCGACCCAAATACACTTATTTACCGTTACCGGGGACACTCCACAAGTATCTTGCACCACCGTTGTATCCGTGATAGATCGTCAGATCACTTATCTGTTGCTCAAACGGTTTGGTGAGGGAGGGGGAGGGGGTTGAGGGAGGCTGATCTGTTTGGACGAAGTTCAGCCTGTATGCCTTTTTTTCTTTTGTTTTCCAAACTTAAAGCGCATTTGGGGAGGGAATCAGAAGCAAATTTTCGGAGGAAATCTCTTCGGTGTTTTTAATTTTTTTTTGGGGTGTAAGCTGATGTGTATGTTGTTCCAGAGCTTACGGCGACGTTTGTTGTGTTAGGTGTGTGTGTGTGTGTGTGTGTGTGTGTGTGTGTGTGTGTGTGTGTGTGTGTGTGTGTGTGTGTGTGTGTGTGTGTGTATTTACTATTTGTGTCTGCAGAATCGAGCTATTAGATCTTGGATCGCGCCTTTCTAGCCAGTCTATTTTTCCTCTATTATGTCTACTACATAATTTTCTACTTTATTTTCCATAATAATCCATAATAAATTCCATATTCCATAATAATAAATTCCATATTCCATAATAAATTTTCCATAATTTTCCATAAATAATAATTTTCCATAATTATTTTCCATAATAATCTACTACTACATTTTTCCTCTATTATGTCTACTACATATATTTCTCTCTAACACACACACACACACACACACACCCAGGAAGCAGCCCGTAGCAGCTGTCTAATTACCAGGTACCTATTTACTGCTAGGTGAACAAGGGCACCAGAGTGAAAGAAACTCTGCCTATTTGTTTCTGCCTCGGCCGGGAATCGAACCCGGTTCCTTAAGACTAGTGTCCAAGAGTACAATTCTTTACAATGGTCGCCAGCTGGGAGGCCCACCTGGCTAGAGGACCCTTAGAGCTGGGTGGTGTAAGTGTATTCTCCCCCCAGTCAGTTCAAGAAACTATCTTACTAAAGTGCCCTTATCCTAACCTACCAGAGGACCCAAAACAAAAAACGGGGCAGTATGTCAATTTCGCGACCCGCTACCATTTTCCTAGTACGACAATTTTTGGCCGTGGGGTAAAGTATATCTTCACCTACAGGCCAAAGCCTTTACCTGTCTGGCCGACTATTAGGAAGACGGGGTGCTGGGCCGGCTTGTAATACAAAGACAATCGATTCGCAAAGATCCTCGCGAAATATACACTGGAATTGGCGGGGGGAGGGGGGGGCAGGGGCAGGGGCAGGGGGTTAGGGTTAAGGCCGGTGTTGGACAGTGGCTGGGGTGGGTGTAGTATATATATATATATATATATATATATATATATATATATATATATATATATATATATATATATATATATATATATGTCGTACCTAGCAGCCAGAACTCACTTCTCAGCCTACTATGCAAGGCCCGATTTGCCTAATAAGCCTAGTTTTCATGAATTAATGTTTTTTCGACTACCTAACCTACCTAACCTAACCTAACCTAACGTTTTCAGCTACCTAACCTAACCTAACCTATAAAGATAGGTTAGGTTAGGTAGGGTTGGTTAGGTTCGGTCATATATCTACGTTAATTTTAACTCCAATAAAAAAAAAAATTACCTCATACATAATGAAATGGGTAGCTTTATCATTTCATAAGAAAAAAATTAGAGAAAATATATGAATTCAGTAAAACTTGGCTTATTAGGCAAATCGGGCCTTGCATAGTAGGCTGAGAAGTGAGTTCTGGCTATTAGGTACGACATATATATATATATACACACACACCCACCAACACTCGCTGACCGACTTCTCGCGCTAGAAACAAAACTTTCCCTTCCGTCGTCTCTGTATTTACTATTATTTCCTTTTTCCCCTTCCCTTGGTGGCGCAGTTCCCCTCTCCCCTGAATTAATTTCCCCTCAGGCATTGTGTATTCCCAGGACGCGTGAAAAAGTTCCCTTCCGTCCTCAGTGATTACTTTGTATCTCTTACTCTACTTTTTAGTGTCTTTTTTTATATTCTGATCTTGCGTACACATCTTCGTAACTCCATCTTTGTTATTCTTATTCTCCACCAAATTGTTGACTTGCATTATTCTCTTTCCGTTCCTGCTTTACCTTGGAGGAGCCTGGCCGCACCTGGGCGTCTCCTGGCCGCACCTGGGCGTCTCCTGGCCGCACCTGGGCGTCTCCTGGCCTTGGGAATGTATCTCTCCCTATTACAATTACCACCTCTTTCTGTACACAAATTTATTCTCCATCCCGTTCTTTTCCTTTCTTCGTCGTATGTTTCTCATTCTCCATTTCTTTCCTTTTCTTTCTCTTCAGCTTTCCTTCCCTTGCTTATATTTATAGTTTCTTTTATAGTTATTCTGTCTCTGTCTCTGTCTCTCATCAAAGCAGTGATGGGTGTGTTGGTAACATGTCGAAGGTGTGACCAACTAGAGACCTTTCCCGGGGCGCTGTGTCACTTCCCTGGTCTATTTCCGTGTTGTAAAGTGGAAGTTTCTCACGTATTGGAAGGATTAACCCTCTTTTGCCCAGTTTAGAGGCTGGAACACCGCTCTCACTCAAGCTTCTCTATTTTCCTCACGTTAACCTACTGGTTTTGGTGACGCTGGCGCCCCGGATGCCTTATATTAATGTCTTTCAGTACAGGGAGGAGTGATGGGGCGTCGGCCGGGTTAGTGTTTATATAATATAGGAGATATTTATGGTGTAGGAGGCTGTCTTCCTACAGTGCTGGCTGTACGCTCACTGTAAGGACAATGACGGCACTGTAATGAGGCAGTGTGCGATACTATAGTGTGTTATTATCTTAATATTTTCTCTCTATCTGTTCGTATGCGTTTGAACATTCCCGCGTTGTATCTTTTTATGCAAAATTCATTTTATTATTATTTTTAATGTTAGTATACTAATATTGTTGTTGCTATGGTTGGTAATTAGTTATTATTATTAGGGTTGATGGGTGTTATTTGGATTGGTGATAATTAGTTATTGTAATTATTGGTATATCAGTCGTCGGGTTGCCTCTTGTGATGAGTTGCGGTCATCATATAACTCATGACTCCTGCTCTAGGAGCTGTGATGAGGCGGTCTCCAAGTACCTCACAGCTCGCCTCATGCTGCATCTTCAACACCTTTGCTCACTGTTCTTGCTCTCAAGAGCTGCCTTCTTTACAGCATGATGAGGTCCAGTTTACAGCATGTTGAGGTCCAGTTTAAAGCATGTTGAGGTCCAGTTTACAGCATGCTGAGGTCCAGTTTCCTCACAGCCTCTCCTCATAGCTCAGGCCTACATAAACCGGAACCAGGCCTATATAAAGCTTTAGGTTATACTCGTTGTTCTTTTTGCTTTTCCAAGGGGGGGATGGGAGGGGGGAGGGGAGGGGGGAGGGGAGGGGGGAGGGGAGGGGAGGGGGAACTGCACATTGAGGATACACCAGCACTGTTCTAACATAGCCAGGCTAGTCGTATCTATCCATCCTACTGAACGCCTCAACCCAAGAATACCTTTATCACCCATACCCCCCAACACCATCACACTCCTCCCCCCTCCTCCCTTACCCCCCCCTCTACTATCACCCAATCACCTCCCCCCCTCTCTCACCCCCTCTACCTTACTCCGATACAATTATGAGCATAAAAGGCGCCACAAAAGGTGCAGGGAGCGCCTCCGGAGGCGTCCACAATGGCCGCCTGACACAGGTATTCCCGCCCCCCGAGGCACTGTTACAATTGGTGAGGAGCAGGCGGTAGTGAAGGGGATTATTAGCGGGGAGAGTGAGGAGTGAGGAGAGTGAGGAGTGAGGAGAGTGAGGAGAGTGAGGAGTGAGGAGTGAGGAGTGAGGAGAGTGAGGAGTGAGGAGAGTGAGGAGTGAGGAGAGTGAGGAGTGAGGAGAGTGAGGAGTGAGGAGTGAGGGAAGTCGTACACGCGGAGAGACGACCAACAACTATCTGTGGAGATTAGTACAAGTTACTAGGAAAATCGTTACGCCTCGCCCGGGAAGGTCAGGGGTCACGCCCTCCACCCTATAGTGTAGGGTGTACACTCTACACCCCTGCTCTACACCCTCCTTCCTCCCCTACACCCTCCTTCCTCCCCTACACCCTGGTCTACACCTTACAGCAACATCCTGTCTTTTTATCTTACACTAATCATTCAGTTCGACTCTTTCTCTCTCCACTCCTACTCACACACACACACACACACACACACACACACACACACACATATATATATATATATATATATATATATATATATATATATATATAATGTGTGTGTGTGTTTGTGTGTGTATCATTGAATATGGCTGCATATTCCATGTTGATATTTTTCCTGCTTAAGGCTTCTATCCTTGTGACCAGTAGTCTTGCATCTTGGTTTAATTGAAAGAGGATTTCTCCAAATGTCATATTTGTTCTAGCTTGACTAAGATAATAAACACCAACTGTATTGCATTTATTATAATTTACACAACGTTTCGAACCAACAAGGTTCATTCTCAAGTGAGGAGACAGGATTTTTGTTTTACATTCAGCTACTGGGAACAAAAAGTTCCAAGTAGCACGGGCTATGGTGAGCCCGCAGTGGACTTACCTACCACAGGAGCGGGGCTGTAACTGGAGACAGGATTGATTGATGAAGAGTAAGCCACCCAAAAGGTGGCACGGGCATGAATAGCCCTTAAGGCGACAGGAGAGGACATATTGGATTTCTACCGCTGGGAGGTCAGGTACATACAATTAAGTGAAGAATAAGAAGTAAAAGTAAGGGGGGTCAATAACCTATGTATACAAAGATTAGTCAGGTGTCGTGGGCATTGGGTTTTGGGTAGTGAGATCGAGGGAATAGTTCTGTCATTTGAGTATTTATGATGGGTGATTCCACTTTGAATACATCGATTAATATCGTAGCAATACTTCGATCCTGACCAAATGAAGAGACAAAAGTAGATATCGCGTGTGGTGGCGGGTGGAGGGGGGGGGAGGGGTGGAGGGAAGATAGCCGAGGCGTAGTAGGAGAAAGGGAGCAGTGAAGGGGGTGTAAGAGAGAGCAAACGCCAGAAAGGAGCTGCTGAAAGGGATGAGAGTGGGGCGTGTGTCGGCATGTTGCCTCGCC